AAGGTTCACTGTAGTATTTTTCCTTACATTTGAATGTTTGAAATTCTCTAAAATAAAAAGATACACATTAAAAGAAAATGAGTTCAAAATGAACTGATAATTAAAAAGAGTATGAAGAGGAGACTTGAAAATGTGTGTTTAGAAATGTTTCCATTGTTTGTGGCTTTGTGAAGGAAGAAAGCTAACCAAAACAAAATTGTCACATTAAAAGCATTACAGAGTTTTCAAGTCTGTAAATAATTAGTTCACTAGATTTTGAATGCTTTTGTTAAAAATAAAGGCACAATAACTTTCAATAGGTTTTCCTTAACAATATGTTAACATATATTATGCAAATCTTAATTTTAAAAATTATTGCATTATTGGTAGATATGCTTAAAAATGAGTATCATAATTTACAAAATCAACAAAGCAATTAATTTATTCCATTTGCATCTTTTTATCATTTCGAGGTATGTTTTTTAACTATAATTGACATCAAAACTAAGTCTTGAAATAAACTGAACTTAAAACCTCACCACTGAGTCAAGATATTCCATAGTTTCAAATTAAGTTTTGAAGAATTAATGAAATATATTTAATCACATTGCAGTCATTTACACATAGAGAGAGATAGGAACTTTTACTTCACTCCAGGTACATAAATTACCTCAAAGTAGATCAATGACCTAAATATTAGAGGTAAGCTATTGGAAGAAAATATGGAAGCAAATTGTCATGATCTTAGATATGACAATGAAGTCTTATGTTTGACACCAAAAGTATTAGCAACAACAAAAACAGATAAATTATATTTCCTGAAAACTAGAAACTTTTGTTTATCAAAGGACATTATGAAGAAAGTGAAAAGACAACCTACAGAATGGGAGAAATACGTGCATATCCTGTATCTGATAAGGATCCAGTATTCAGAATATATGAAGAACTCTTACAATTCAACAACAAAAACATAACTCAATTTAAAAATGAGCAAAGAAAGGACTTGAACAGACGTTCCCATAAAGAAGATATATGAATAGTAAACAACCACATAAGATAATCAACATCACAATCGTGAGAGAAATGAAAATCAAATCCACAATAAGACACCACTTCACCCTTACTAGGATGTCTAGTTAGAAACAGTAACACGTGATGGCAAGGATGTGGAGAAATAGAAACCTGTGACATTGCTACTCTGCTGGTGGCAATATAAAACGGTATGGCAGTTGTGGAACACAGTGACCAGCTCTCCTAAAGGTTAAACTTCGAATTCTGCTTCTTGGTATATATCCAAGATAAACGAAAGCAAATGTGCATACAGAAACTTATATATGTTTATTCATAATAGCCAAAAAGATGGAAACAACACAAATGCCCATCAGCAGATGAATGGATGCACAAATTGCGGAGTATCCACACGGTGGAATATTATTCAGCCATAAAGAGGAAAGAAATACTCATACATTTTACAGCTTGAATAAACCTCAAACATGTTATGCTAAGTGAAATAAGGCAGACATGAAAGGTCATCTATTGTATGATTTCTTTTATAGGAAATATCTACAATAGGCAAATCCATGGAGAAAGGAAGTGATTGGTGGTGGCCGGGGCTGGGGCAGGGGGTCAAGGGCAGTGATTACTTGGGTAGGAGGTGTTCAAAGACTTTTGAAGCCGGATAGAGGTAGTGGTTGTGCAACATTGTGAATGCACTAAATGCCACTGAATTGTACACTTCAAAATGGTGAATTGGTGACATGAATTTCACTTCGATTAAAATGTATATATGTAATAACGGTATAGTACAAGTAAAGGGTTCTTTGTAATGTTAAAAGATAAAATATTAAGCAGTTCAGGTTGATCTCATTCTTCTTTCTTTTTCACATATGTTACTTTATATATATATTGGGTATGTGTTCAACATTTTGAGTGACAGAGGCATACAATTTAAAAATTTGGTAAGACTGCTCTAGTTCCAGGTAACAAATCTAGAACATGGGGAGTGACTCTAACCCACAGAAAAACTTAGTATACCTTGGCTGAATAATATTGAAAACTTATTCTCAACGCCTTTATGCAAATTATGCATTTTCCAGTTCAACACAATTCCTTTATTCCCCAGAACTTTTATCTTTTGTGATCCAAACATTAATGTTTCATATCCAGCAATGATCAAATTTAAATTTTCAACTCTTCTGCTAGGGTTTATATGTATCTAAGTCAGTTTTATCTGACTTAGATCAACGGCTCTTCTTCTGTTCTTCATTGGTATTAGAAATGGAGAGAAAACATGCTAGACTTACCCACACAAGGCAGGGAGTAGCCCAGTTGAGGGTCATGAACAAACTGCCGATCATTGAGTCTTGTCACACAGTATAAGTGGAAACAGTCTAAGCAAATCACGTGGCGGGAGTTGCACTGGAAAACCAGGACGGGGCTCCTGCAGAGAGAAAGGAAGATGTTTCCTCTGGTACCTGTCAGTGTGGAAAGGCAGCATGTGATTTAGGCCAATTTCTGTAATCCTGGAGGGTTGTGTAGAGCGTGCTCTGTGCAAAGACGGGAGCTGCTAAGCATTAAGCTCATGTATAACAACACTACAGCTTAAAAATTGGAGGCACTCAATGAACTACACAGAACATTGATTCTCCTAATTTTATATTTTTTTATGTTAACACGTTTATCAATCTTTTGATTAAACCTGAGCTAAAATATAATCTCTTTCTGGAAGTCTTCCCTGACTCAGAATTCCCAATTAACCTATCAAATCATCCCATCTGTTTGTATATATTTCTATTGATCCATTATTACATCATAATATCCATATCTTTTCCTTTCTCATAGACTGTGATCTCCTTGAAAGTAGGTCGTATGTTTATTTTGATATTCCCATAGTACCAGACATTGTAATATTTTAAATGAATATTTTAAAAATTGAAATCTTTAAAACATTTTAAAGATTTTTTTTCTACAAAGTATTTTAGGGGAATCAAAAAAATTAGGACATATATAGTGATTTATTAGTAATCCCATAACCATAATTAGAGAAAATTCAACTGTAAAATAACAGATTTTCAAAGTTCTGCTATCCCACTTATTTTAAAGTACTATGTAATACAAAACAAAGAAAATAAAATTCCTTGGTAACTTAATTATAACCATATTATAATAATAGGACCTGAATTTCTCCACAATCAAAAGAAAAATTACTATTGCACCAAAGTAAAAATGTTGAGCATTTTCTCACATTTTACTGGCAAATAAAAAAGTAGAATTTAGGGATAAAAGCTTATCCAACAGGGATTCTTCTACTGCAAGATTTTGTCCATTGTGCCATCTTGAAACCATCCAAATATTCAGTTTCTCAAAGTATGGTTATGGGATTACTAATAAATCAATATATGCAAGTCCTAAACTTTTTTATTCCCTCAAAATACTTCGTAGAAAAAAATCTTAAAAACCATGTATTTTTTACTGGAAAATGAACCACACAAGTTTATGTCAAACAGGAGACAAGCTCAATATATGAATCTGAAATCAGCCCCAATGTGATTTTAATAGCAAGAAAGTTATTGGAGTCTATTTAGATAATCCAATTTCCTGTGTAATTATAACAAAATACAAAATAAACATGTTCATTCTATACCCAATCCTTAACACCTATAGGAGCTCTTCAAAAGCCCTTTTTCTAGAGAAAGTAATAATAATAATATAAAAGATAATTTCTTAACACCTAAAAGATTTTCAAAATTCTTCTCTCACTTACTTCAAAGCAATATGTAATACAAACAAAGAAAATAAAATTCCTTGGTATTTTAATGCCATGGGTGTGTAAGTAATCTGTCAACTTAATCCGAGCAAGGGCGCACCTAAAGGTACAGCTTCTCTTTTTCCCTCTTGGAACCTATCCAAGTCCTTCATAATGCTCTCCTATTTCTAACCAAAGAGTTACTTGCATACAATGCTCAAGCACACACATACTTTTTTCACTTTGTGACCCTGTGAAGCTGCTGTATTTTGCCTTTTTCTCTCACAGCTGTTATGTGAAAAATATTCTCCATCTTGCTTTCAGCAACACGGTAGACTAAAACGTTTATAGACCTCCCAATCTGCTACTAATGCATGGAGAAAATATTAGAACATTTATGAAAATGTGCCTGTATATAACAAAGTTATAAAGAAAGCTTAGAAATGACCCTGTAGAGGAAACATAAAGAAAACATATAGAGCCCAAATGGTCAGCCCATGAACCCCTGCCACAGTGGCCCAGAAAGTCACGGCTGCATGGTCTGCGGCCATCGGTGTAGCTTCTGCAGGCTTTTCCACTCCTGTTAGCAGAGTTCTCTCTCGCATGGATGGACAACAGCACACATTTACAGTTTTCTCCTTCAGTTTGAATATGATCCCAAATGACTCATACCACCTAGACAATACACGGAACATCAATTGTCCTACTCTATTAATGACATCCTGCTGTTCGGAGAAGATTCACAAGAAACAAGCACTACATTGGCGGCTGTGGTGTGAAATCAACCCTGTGCAGCGACAGGAGCCATTAGGGACATTAGGGAAAGTTTAGAGGTCCAAGTCTTGGGGCCTGGAAGTACACACCTTCCAATATAAATAGTCCATCTTACCCATCCCGCAACTGGGAGTGAAGCACAGACAGCTGCAGACGCAGTGGGTCCAGAGTTCTGGTTCCCACAGAGTGAACTGTATCTTCCTAGCGACACAGGAAGAGTCCTGCTGAAAATTAAGCCACAGCTGCACCAGGCCAACTCAACCTCCTTGGACTGAGAATGTCTACCTTGAATAAAAAATAGGAGAAGTGAGCACCAGGTAACAGTGGGTTACCAGATAGTGAGCAGTGAAGGGACTAGGGTCTGACACACAGAGGCATGGTCAGCACTGGGAGTGAGGACAGAGACTCATGTAACTCCCTTGAAGAAACGCCACTGCCCAGACGCAGGTGTGGAATGCAACCTGGGAAGCTGGAATGTCGCGTGTGTTTCTGCATGTCCTCTTCGGGACAGAAAGAAATGTACAAGTTACAGGGCGTCAAAAATGATAAATGAGTCACTCAGGAATTCTGATTGTCTATTACTATCTATAAACAGTCAACTTGGATATACACCTATATACAGATATAGATAAATGATAGATACAGATATCAACAGATGAACATATGTGCTGAAATATACAGATGAAGATATAGAAAAATATACACACTGTTTTACACACACACACATACACAGATAATGTTATAAAGGTAGTGTATATGTGCATTTCACATAGAATTATCAGTCACCTGGAATTCTTGATATAGTTATGAGCTAAGATTCCTCATCTCTTATTAAGATATTCCTTGTAGTTGTGCAAAGTTAGGTGAGGAATAAACATGACACCAATAAAAAGGTTATTAGATTCATCAGTTGAGAAAAGGAGTAAAAATCTTTTCATGGCTAGAAGGTCTACATCATTAACTTCCTAAATGCTAAATCAAAGAGGAGGGGAAAGCTAGTGTTTACGGGCACCTACTTCGGGTTAGGTGGCTTGCTAGGAACTTCACAGACTTCCTTTCATTTTATCCTCCTAAAACAAACTGCCCTTCCTCTACTGTCCATCCTGTTCTCTCCGCACATCCATCCCTTCCAGCTGGGAAGGTCCCTGAGTAGCCTAGGATTCTTCTAGCTCCTGTACACCTAGATGTGTGCTCTTTGCCATCTATTCTCACGGTAATACACACCTTCATATTCAAAGCCAAATCCCAAAGTTCTAGGTCCAGTTCAAGACTAAAGATCTCCAAGGAACTTTCTCTGGAGTCTAACACCTCACTGCTTCTTCCCTTTTTCTTTACCTTTCTTCCATACTTAATTAAAAAGTTCATCCGTAATGTGCTTCAATACTGGCCTGACTTTTGTTTAAGGTGTTTCATATACTCCTACCTTAGCTATCAACATTAAATGAAAAGTCATGAAATGGTAGAGACCCTACTTGCTTAACCCTTTCATGACCCATGCCTCACCAAATACAGTGTTGAGCACCTGATAGTTTTGTAATCAAGAGTTATTGATTATTTTAGTGGACAAATGAATGGGTCACTGTTTTTGTAGTTTCTCATACTTTTATAATGTCTCTGCTCTCATTCACATGTTGTTCACTAAATTTCTTATTGAACATCTACTTTGACTAAAGTAGGCACTTAGTAAATACATGTGGACTATAGCACCCAGTGAATGGATAAATATCTTATACTTGGTTTACACAATCACAGGGCATGGTTGAGAGACACAAGATGCCCATGGAACAAGTATTACAAAGAAGTATCTGCAGTCCCCAAACTCTGGGAGCCTGAAAGTTAGGAAAAGAGAGAAGTATTGAGTCAGGATAGATCCATTAGGGAACCTGAATTGAATTTAAAGAAATGGGAGGATTGATATTTGGTCACCGTAAAGAAATGTTGTTTCTAAGCAGGAAGGAATCACAGACATGTAAGTATGCTAGGAACAGAAGAGCAATCAGGTGGGCTGATCAAAACGATGTATCAGGAAAAGGGTGGGGGACAAGATGAAAAGGGTTGAGGACAGAGCAGATTCCGGCCAGGGATTGGGGTTGACTCTAGGAGACACACCTAGCATAAGGCCTCTAGATTGTGGGATTCACTAAAGGTTTCTGCTATGGTCTGAATGTTTGTGTCCCCTCAAAATTCCTATGTTAAAATCCTTATCTCCAAAGTGATGGTATTAGAACATGGGGTCTTTAGAAAGTGAATGTTGTGAGAGAAGAGCCTTCATGAATAAAATTAGTGCCCTATTAAAGAGACCCTGGAAAGCTCCCACACACGTTCTACCATGTGAGGACACAGTGAGAAGCCACCAACTATGAACCGGGAAGGGGTGCTCTCACCAGACACTGGATCTGCCAGTGCTTTGATCTAGGACTTCTCAGCCTCCGGAATGGTGAGAAATGAATTCCTGTTGTTTATAAGCCACCTGTTTATGGGATTTTGTTATAGCAGCCAGAATGGACTAAGAGAGTTTTCAAACATGGGAGGGGAATGACGTTTTAGTAAGTTTAGCTCTGACAAAAGTATGGAGGGAAAGAAGCTGGAAGTAGTGAGAACTACTTGAGGTCATTTTGGTAATTTAGACATGAGTTACTAAGAACTGGACTATGATGTGCAAGTGGCTCTGGGAGTGGAAATGAGAAGAAGAACGGGTGACATTTCAGAGCAGGACCCACTAGGACTTATCCTCTCATGGGTCTTTTGTTCCTCCTGACATTCCTGTGTGCCCTTTGCTCTAATTATCTACATATAAATGTTAATTGATCAATCCAGAGATCATTTTACCCCAATGGGCCAGGTTAAAGAGCAGTAAATTAAAGGTTAAGTAAAGTTCTCAATCACATATAAAAAGACTTATAAATGCTTTTCTTGATATT